CCTAAGAAATTATTGAGTATACGAGCATAGTACTTAGTATATTTGTCTATATTTGAATTGACTTGCAGATACAGTACCAGTACAGCACTTATCGTGTTACAAAAGATTTCAAAGATGAAAAGGTGGGGACCCTGAATGGGTAGCACATTGAGTACGATATGTGATATGGGATGAGGAGACCATCAGTTGTCTCAAAAGTTATATCCCGAAGTTTAAGGTTTATTACGCTTGGGATGAGGAGGCATTAATTTGTCTCAAAGATTATATCCTAAGTTCTGATGGAGGCGAGACGGGCCTGAGAAATATCCATCAGAGTGTGCACACGTATCCGATTAACCATCGGCCAGAGAAATGAAAGTTTAAGTTTAAGTTACCGATCAGATATCGGTTTATGATTATCCATATTCGTTACTCACCCCCATGAGTTTTAGTTTCAGGTAACAGGTTAACGAGGAGGTGTGAGAAGAGCCGTGTGGTGTGGATCGTGGAAGAAAATGAAGACAAGCTTTAATGTGGACATTTATAAAGTTTGTATAATTAACCACGTTTCAAATATTTCTGCTACGCACATTAATTATTAAACTTGCATTTTAATGAATTTTAGATTTCAAGTTTTTATGAGAAATATGATGATAATATGTTAAATGCAAGTTTAAAGGAAATCTGTTTTAATAAGTCTAAAGAAGTATTAGACAACAGTTTAAAGATAAACGGATTTTCAAGAAGACGAATTTAGTAGCATCCCGAGTAAGTTGCAATTATTTCAAAAAAAAGTTAAAGTGATATCGAAGTAAAAGGTTGCGAAAAAGTTACTCTGATAAGCGGGGTGTTACAGGCTGGCCAGACGACTGGCCCTTCTTGAGCTCGAAGCGTTTGAGCGCTTTAACTGAAATAGTAGAAGAGAAGTTAGTAAATGAAGAAAACTTAGTAGTCATGATTCGAATGATCGAAGTTTACAAACAAATATACAAGTAAAAGCTTACGGGGGTCATCGAGACGAGGAAGGTCCTCGTAGATGACGATGTGAGCGTGATTAACCAGTTCACGGTCCTTTATCAACTGACGAGCACTATACGTATGCTTATTAAGCTCAGTCAGGAGAGTAGCGAACTCGTCAGAACGAGGCCGTTTATTTTGTTTCACCTTCGAGGTTATCCACTTATTTACATAAGGATACATACCGACGGCAGGACGAATGAAGACGTACTTCGACTTCCACTCGGTCACGTTCGACGAAAGATCGTCAAGGAAAGTGACGCCGGCACGACGACCCAGACAATGGGCGCCTTTGGAAAGACGATAACCGTAGCAGTAAAAGAAAAACTCGGGAGAAAAGAATTTGAGTATTATTCAGGAAACGACTTTGAAGGCTATCATGATGCGGATAGCATTTGGGGAAAATTGATTGATGGGAATATTGTACAAATTACTAATTAATATTAGCTCGTCTTGGATAGGAAAGCGAAGACCAAAGACGACTTGGTCTATGAAAAATGTATGACAGCCGGGGGGAGGATGAGCGAAATCGTCGTTAGGACCAGGGGCGACTAACTCCCAATCCGAGGGAAGCCCGCTGAACTTTCTGAAGCCCTCGACTTCGGCTGCAGAGGCATAACAAAAGAGATTTAGAACAGCTAACCTAGCCAAGGGACAAGCTATAGATACAGTATTTTGACAATTGAGAAGAGGAACAACTATTGGTACAGATACAGGGCTTGTTCTATAAACAGGGATATCTAAGAACCTAAGAGGAATACCTCGAGGAATGATATCGAGACGAGGAAGATTTCCTCGAGGAGGGCTTTTCACGATGTCAACTAAGCCGCCCTCCAAGAGCGCTTGGTCGTGCTGCTCTCAGTCGGCAGAAGAAGCAGTGGCGAGAGGAGGAGAAGAATGGGAAGGCAGTGAAACCATCCTATAGTCGGTTACCTCGACACAGTCAGAGCTAGAACCCTCGTCGGCTTGACAAGTATAATCGTTGATCTGCTGACCGAAGGAGCCGGAGAGAGGAGACGAGTCGGAAGCTAAGGAAAGAAAAAAGAGGAGAAGGTCGAAGTTAGTAAAATCACGAGTAAGGGCCTACAAGATCGAATCAGGGCGACTCGCAATAATCGACAGAGGAAGAAAGGACAAAGAAGGGGCAATCGCTATCGGTATCTCGACTTAAATAAACTAGTAAGTCGACCTTAGTCGACTCGAGAAGAGAAAAATTGAAGAAAGAAGACCACTAAGTCGACAAGAGCCGACTTAGCGACAGGTGAAAGTCGACTGCACATCGGCAGCCGACGACTGATAAAAACAACAAACCTTAACAAAATATACGCGTAAAGAGACCTAAGCGCGAAATCTGTAAAAAAATTCATGAAGAATACGAAGAACATACATGAACTCCGAAAAGTTCTGGGAGTCCAGAAAAAATCAGAAAAAGGAAAAAATCAGCAGAGAATTGAGAGTTAAGAGATAGTGAACTTACACATGGTTGCCGGATCGAGTTGAAAGGTCGCCGGGAACAAATATCGCCGGTGAAGCTGAAACTCGCAGGTCGCCGGAAAGCTGGAAGGAAGTTGAAAAAGAGAGAAAGCAAGAAGTTTTAGGATGCGGAAAGTGGTTTATGGAGAAAGTAAAGTATATTTATATAAGGAAGTGGTGGTTGTGAAACGTTGGATCATCAAGAGAACCAACGATCCTGATAAGGCACGGAATTCGAAGGGACCGCGATGGAGATGACGCACGTCATTTTAGGGTTTCGAAATTTGAAATTTGAAATGGGTCTGTCAGAGTGTCAGACTTATCCGAAAGAGCAATCATGAGATTGAGGCGCACCCTAATTGATTGACGAGACGAGTTGCAGAAGAGGCCAGTACGAGCAAGAATGGCAGGAAGGCGACACACCAAATTTACTCTTAAGCAGTCGACTGCTTAGAGTGATTTTTGGGGGGGACAGATGATATAGCCACACAAGGATAACCCGGTCGAGAAGCTCCCTACCCGACCGGTGAACCACTCGAACAACTCGCATGTCGACATGACTCTGTCGACATTCTCACATCGACTCCCCTAAAGACGATTCTACGGAGAGCAATCGAGAAGTGGCAGAAATTGGCCTAGTCGACTCTTACAAGTCGACCTTAGTCTATCGACTTTTACTAGTCGACATCAATGAAAGAAGGGCAACAAGAGAATAACGCCCGAGCATCCCGATATCCTAAGTCGACTCTCATCAGTCGACTGAACTAAGACGACTTCACCTCAAAGGATTAGCCAAGCGTAGCCTCTGAACCCACACATATCCACGAGCCGACCTCCTAGCTCTCGAAGTCGACCTCGCATACCTCGAATAACAAAGATGTGATGACGACTCATCACACTTGCAACATACTTGAAGTTCTACATATTCTGAAGGATAAGAAGGAATCTGTTGATGACTCAGCAACAAGGGGAAACGAATCGACAGAGGCATTTTGGACCTTCTAGGTCCACCGACTTGGGCATTCTGGGTACTTCAGGTAAATATTCACTCCTATATAAAGGAGGTGAGGTAACCCTAAAACCCTAACTCTCATTCAATCCCACTCTCCCTATAGCTGCTGCGCAGCCTCTCCTCATCACTCATATACTGACTTGAGCGTCGGAGGCTCTACGGCGGAAACACCTCCGGCGTTGAGTTTTTGCAGGTGTTCTCGCGGTCTAGCAACGAATTGGAGGCGGTTCAAGCAGATCTGAGCTCATAACCACCGGTTTACTTCAGATCTGAAAGTAGACCCATCAGCCCAATTGTGGGCCAAGCCCACTTGGTCTGCTTACTTAAATAATGTTTCGGTCCACTAACGAAACACTATTGCACTCCCTTATCATCCCTGAATTATATTATAGACTCCAATAATAATTACTCGAATTACCTCCCCACATTTAAGATAATAATGTCCATCAATTAATTCGATTGCTGACAACCAAGAACTAATTGACATCTTGAACCGAAGCTAGCACCACTCAAATCATTATTATTATGTTGAAACTTAATCCACGTGCAGGGTTTAACATAATAATCCTTCATGAGCTCACTGCAGGGATATCATCAAACTAACGCACATGGTGACCGTGAACATTCTAACAGCACATCATACATATAACGCTATTACTCAAAACATGAAGACTATTGACCCAGCAGAATGGATCTCGCTTTTGGTGAATCAAAGTAATAACTACTGCATGCACATGTCTGTTTATATCTTACGGGCAAAGAGAACAGATTAATTAACTGAGGCCTAGTTCGTTTACGACGATCATATAAAACGAGCTGCTCCTATCTAGGATCATGTTCAATACATAAATGTACTAGTCCAACTAATCAGCCATGATCAATTGTACGGTTGACACTACAACCGTTCTGATAGTTTGTTCATTTCCTTCTAGGTTATGAACCAATCATTCTTGTTCCGCAAGTAACTTGAACCAATTTTTGTTATTACTAATAAGTTGACTTAAACCATTTTTTTTTTTTACCCAAAAAGTACCATATGCAATAATTGTGATTTTAATATTGTGTTATCTAAGTAATTGGTCATAACCAGTTAATATTATAAAAATTACATTATTATAGTCTATATGAAAATTCGTATGTAAGCTAAATAGTTTATTCTATATCGTTGATTTTTGCTAATTATAAAATTTATAAAATGTAACAGGTTCATTTTTTAACTTATAATTTTAAATATTAAGTACACACATATAACTTAAAAAGTTTTATGTGAATGTGCACATGATCGAATACTAGTTCATAGTAAGGTTATATTTCACATTTATACAAATTAAAGAGTGTAGTTATTGTTTTAAACTCTCAAGTGGAGAAGTGAGAACCACCCCTCCGCTATCGAGTCCTCCAGTACGGTACAGTTTTATATACAAAAGTGAAGAAACGTGTTAAGAGCGATATCAACTCATAACTGGCAGACTGCAGCTTAGAGGCAGTTCAGTTGGATGGATGGAGGAGAGCAAAGTACCCAATTTGCCTTTCTTGTCTATAAATAGCGGCCACAGCTCCAAACCCTCCCCACAATTCGGAATTTCTCAGCCAAGGTTTTAGGGGTTTTATCAAGAACTGCATTTTGCCTTGTCATTTCTATTCGTCATTTCTCCATTAACTCAGAGCTGATATGCAACTCAGCTGCAGTGTATTTATACGTATTTTCTCAATCAGGGCTCAGCTTAAAACCTAGAATCTCAGGTAAGTACTTCGCTACTGTTTCATTTTCAATTTTCTGTTTCAAAGGCGCTACTCTATTGGCTCGACCTGTTTCTGGGAATTAAAGGGTTAGGGTTTCTGCGCGGATGCTGGTGGCTCGATGACTCAACGAATTGGTGTTTGAAGTTCGTTTCTTGTTGAAAATCAAGTCGCGAATTGTGGTTTTTGGGGGAATTGGGTTCGGGCGAGGAGGTGTGATTTGATTGTGATACGATATTATGAAGTGTTGCCGAATATGAGCGATGGTCATGGTAGGGACGACTTGAAGTTCTTGAGCGATAGAGAAAATCAGCAGTCAAAGAGTATAAAAAAGAATTCTGGAGCTGAAGAATTTGCCCAGGCCATTGCCAGAATTGCAGTGGCCCAGGTTTGCGAGAGTCTAGGGTTTCAGAGCTTTCAACAGTCTGCACTCGATAGTCTAGCAGATGTAGGGGTCAGATACATCAGAGAAATAGGAAAAGCAGCAAACTTATATGCCAATTTGGCAAATAGAAGTGAATGCAACGCCTTTGATGTAATCCAGGGATTAGAAGATCTGGGCTTCACTCAGGGCTTTTCAGGTGCTTCGGATGTTAACCACTCTCTATCAATATCGGGAGTGATTAAGGATATCGTTAGTTATGTTGGCCAATCAGATGAAATCCGGTTTGCTTATCTGACCCCCGTTTTCCCAGTATTGAAAGAAAGGACACTGAACCCTAGTTTTTCCCAGGCAGAGGAAAATCCACCGGATGAACATATACCAAGTTGGCTGCCAATTTTTCCTGATCCTAAGACATATACATATTTAAGTTCCGGGAGTGAGATGGACTTGGAGACAGAGGCTGTGGAAAAAATTCAGCCAGTTGATGAGAATCATAGAAAGGTTCAGAGGCCTGTGCTGAATTTTCTGCAGAAATTGGTTCGTAATGGGTTTGAATCCAGTGTGGAAGACCATAGGGAAGCTTCGTGGTCTCATCGAGCAGATGAAAGTAATCCGTTTCTTGCAACCCCTCTGAAATATGGCGAGAAGGAAGTATCTGTGCCCCTTCTTCCATCTAAATTTATAAATGATACTGCTGATTACCATAATAGAACTGAAGCTTTTGAGAATTATCTTACATCTTCTGATCCAACTGCGAGGCCCAATGCTATTGTGGGGAGTGGTTCTGGTGAACCTGAGAACAGAGAAGAAGAAGTTCTGGTGAATGGAAGGCCGGGGATAAGATTTAAATTCGGAAATAGTAAGAAGTCCTTGAGAATGATGACAGACCCCCAAAATGAGAGCAGTAAAGAAGTTTCTGTTTGGTTTGGTGATGAAGATGAGGGAAGCAAAATGATGAAAAGGCGAGCAGATGAAATTGTTTGGCGAGATACAGAAATGGGTCACTTGTAACTTAGGCCCGTTTGATTAAAAGGGATTGTATAAATTTGTTTTTATGGAGCTAGCAACTGATGGATATTCCTGGGTAGTTGTAGTTGAAGAGCTAGAAGTTTTCTGTATACGGTTAGTTTAGACTTCTAAAGGGGTCAATTCTTAAGGTATTTGTTCTCACTTGCGTCTGTGAACCGTCGCTATTTTTTTTTTTTTTTTCCTGGCAACTGAATTAAGTCTGTCTTTCTTTAAGCTTGGTCATTGAGATTTATGTAGACTTCTAAACATTTGAGGCTAACCAAATTGCTTTGAAATGGATCCTTCATTGCGTATAATGCTCAACTGCATCTCATATGTGTATACCAAATGTTTTATGATAAAAAGACTGGTAAATATCAAGCGTCCCTCATGCTTATATATGATAAAAGTATGTATCATATATTGGTGTACCAGATGTTTCATGATAAACATCAGTAAATATCAAGTGTCGCCTCATGCGTATATATGATGAAAGCCTGAAACACATTGGTGAGGAATAATTTAATTCATAAATGCAAATTTTTGATAATATTTTTATCCTTGTAATTGAACCAAATTTTTACTTGCCTTTTCTCTTGTCTTTGGTTTTTGCTATCTGTAGTTCAATCATTTTACATGTCTTTTCTTTTTCTCCGGCTGTTGTTTCCTTGCCTTAGATCGTATCCAATCGAACTGTAAAAAGCTAAAAACCTAGGATGAAACTCTATAAAAACTCAAACCCAAAATGGGTTTTTGAGTTTCTCTCTGAAAAATGGGGAGTAGATTTTCGGCTGATTTACAGGTTTACGATCATATTTTCAAGGTTTTTACGTTTTACGACAGTCTGAAAAGTTGTATTGTTTAACTTATTGCACATTTTACGATTTATGAATTAGTGTGAAATTTTAGATTATTCAAATCACATTTTCTTTTCGGAAAAGACTTGAAGAACAATCCTTGCAAAACTCCTTTCCAAAGTTCACAGTTTTGCACATCATCATCGACTAAAGGGTGAAAAAGTTCACATGAAATAAACAAAAAAATTTACTTTCTAATAAACCACAAACTTTGAAGATTTCACATCAGATGAACAAGAAATATACCTTCCAATAACTAAAAAAAAACTACAGAAATAACTCGAAATTAACTGTTAATTTTCCTGATTATATTTACATAAACTTAAATTTATTATAATAGACAAAAAATAAACTAATAGTAACTACAAATAAATTCACGTGAAAGGAGCTTTAGTTCGACCCCAACCTCCTTCTACGATATGGTTTGGTGCTCCATCTTCGTCATTGAAAAAGCCCGAGTTCAGATCGGATCTCCTAAATAAACAACACTAAATCATAATCTACAACAAAGTACCTAGTTTTGAGATTAAATTAGACAAGCCATTGAGCCCGCATCTCCATCTATTTTTTCAGATCTGACATGCTATGGCCTCTTGTTGGATGTGGTTAGATGCCTGAGCACAAATCAGACCTTTGTCGAGCAATTCCAATTTCTTCTCATCACCGTCGAGTGATTTTAATAGCAATTTCAATTTCTTCTCACCACCATCAAGTGATTTCAAATCTAATTTCATGGTGGCGTGGTGTCTGTAATGGGGAAAGGTAAAAAAAAATAGAGAGGCGGTTGTTAGTATGGCAAGGTATATTTGTGGAGAAATAAGGACGCAGATATAAGAAATTGAGAGAGCGAGAGAGAAGGAGAAGAAGAAGAGAAGAGTTTGGGTTAAAGAAGAATTTAAGAAGAATAAAATGATGTTTATCATCTATTACCGTATCGTATACTCAATTCTCGTTCTTTTGTAAATAAAAAGATAATCTCGTTTATTGGCAGATAAAAACTATATACATCGTATGTCGAGTACTTTTCTCTAGATTTTCCAATTGAACAACAAACTCAAACCCAAAATATGTTTTTGACTTTCTGTCTCCTCATCTATATATGTGTATATGGGGCGGATCAAATGAGGATAGCTCTTAAAATGAGGACAACTCTTAAAATGAGAACAGCTCTTTGCAACTACAGACAATTAACCTTGCAACTACAGATAACTCTCATTGCAACTACAGACAACTAACATTGCAACTAGAGAAAACTAATATTGCAACTAGACATAACTAACCTTGCAACAACATATAACTAAACTTGCAACCAAAGACAACTAACCTTGCAACTAAAGACAACTAACCTTGCAACTACAGACAACTAACCTTGCAAACTGAATACAACTAAACATTGCAAATAAAAACAACTAACCCTGCAACATGATAGAACTAACTTTGCAACTACAGACAACTAACTTTGCAACTAGAGAAAACTAACATTGCAATTAGACAAAACTAACCTTGCAACTACAGATAACTAACCTTGCAACTAAAGACAACTAACCTAGCAACTAAAGACAACTAACCTTGCAACTACAGACAACTAACCTTGCAAACTGAATACAACTAAACATTGCAAATAAAAACAACTAACCCTGCAACAAGATAGAACTAACTTTATAACTAACCCTGTTTCAATAATTTTGTCTCACCATATTTACTTCATACACAATACATATTATGGTCAACGGGTCAACGCCAGAGTCAACGCCGAAAGTCAACGATTTTTATCGGAAGTCAATTATTTTTGTCGGAATTCAACGGTCAACGCCGGAGTCAACGGTTAACGGTCAATGGTCGAAATAATATTTAAATAACTAAAATAATTAAAATAAAAAATTATTATTTAAATAAAGAGTTAAATCTTGGCTACATATCTTGATACCCTTTTAGTGGCTAGGATTGAGTCTCATGTCCTCATTTTAAGAATGTGTCTTCATTGGAACTAATCCATATATATATATATATATATATAGATAGGGTTGAGTTCAAGTGAAAATGTTGATCAATGAAAGAAATAAGAATACATCGTAGCCATTAGATCCAATGATCAAACGGCTAAAAAAAGTCAAAATTATAACTTCATTAAGGCTATGTTTGTTTTGAGGGATTTATTGAGTGATTTGGAATCCATAGATTTAAAATTTACAAGTTCAAATGCTCATGCATGTTGGGATGATAATGGAAGTTGAAGGATTTCAAATTCATGTTATATGTTTTTTAGTCATTATTTTAAAGGATTTGAAATGACTCTTCAAACCTAATCATTTGAAATCCACTGTTGACGACCACGCAGTCCGCGATCATTTAGGTTCATCACCACCGCGAGTCAACACCATCGGTGCGAGCTAGACAATTTATTTATAATATTTTCAATACATCCATTCAAGGAGTGTGCAAGTAAAAAAAATTATATTTCTAAAACTTTGAAATCAAGGGATTTTAAATCCCTCAAAACAAACGAAGCCTAAGGGTATGTCAGACATTTTTCTTATATATATTAGTTGACCCCACCAGACCACCCACACCCCAAAACCAGTCCAGTTCACCCCACTTGAGACGCACACACGCTACACGCACGCACGCATGAGCACATACACACACACACACAAACACACACACACACATCGTACAGTACGCATGCAGCTGTCTACCACACGACGGTCGGCCACCGCCACCGCTAGCCTCTGACGCTGCCATCATAACGCTGTCCGACCTTCCTCTACGCGAACCAGCAGCTGTCGGAGGTTGAGGATCGACCAGGGAACAAAAAAAAAATACAAGCCGAGCAAGATGCCCATTCCGTTCTTCATTCCGACGAGGCAGCCAGCTCCTCCTATGCCGCCATCGACTGACGTCCGCTGAGGCCCGAAAGATCGAACACCCTACCATCTCAATGGAGAAACGACCAGATTTAAAAATTTGAGGCTTTACTTTGCGGTTTGGGATTTGGAAATTTAATAATTTTCAAGGACCTAATTGGAGTTACAAAAATTTTGTTATCATTTCAATTTAGTCATAGGCTTAATCTATAATTCTAAAAAATTTAGAAAAAAAAATAATATTTTTATATATTTATTATACATATATTAAAATAATAAATAAAAATGTTAAATAAAAATAATATATAATCCTAAAATAATATAAAATAATAAATATTGAAATAATAATAATTTTTATAAAATAAATAAAAAATTATTTCGATTATTTTTAGTTTAATTCAACTAACCAATCGAATAAATTGATTATTTCGGTTCGATTTAAGTTTGGACTTTCACATAAAAAAAAAACTATATTGCAAAATGCACGCACATCAGTACGCACATTAGTGATTATCGGACTGCACAATAGTGTTAGACCAAATGCACATTATTACGTTCGATAATGCACATTAGCATTTCAGTGTGCATATTCACATATATTAAAATTGCAGTTAGTTTGGTTCGGTTTCAACCTTAGTTACAAAATTAAAAAATAATAATAATAGAATCGATCAAACTATATTAAAAACAATATTTTTATATTTTATCTATATGTATTATTTATTTTCATCAATAATAATATAAACTAACAAATAAAAAATATAAATACTAAATATAGTTTTATTATATAAATAATTTGGTAAATGCTAAATAATGTCGATGGACGTCGACACTAAAAAAGTTTCTAAAGTTGAAAAGCACATAAAAATAATCATTCAATGGACTGCACAATAATTTTAAACAAAAGACAGATGCACATTATTGATTTCGATATTTTACATAGTATGTCTTTTCAAACAAAAATGATATAAAAGTTTTGAATAAATATATTGAAATAATAAAAAATATTTTGATAACATAAATAATAAATCGAATTGCACAATAGTATTATACAAATTGCATATTAGTGACTATCAGATTGCACAATAGCGACCGAAACCTACCAAACTAAAATTTTCGGTTTCCAAATTTTATATTTCGGTTCAATTATTTGTTTTTACTTTTAAATCTCGATTATTTCGGTTCGATGTTGGCTTTATTTTTTAATATAACCAAACCGATCGAACGATATATTATCTTTATGTATTGCAATTGCACAATATTGTTATATGAATTGCACATTAATATTATCAGATTGCACAATAGCGACCGAAACGGATGTAACTAACATATTTCGGTTTGAAATTTTATATTGCAGTTCGATTATATATTTTTTACTTTTAAAATCTCGATTATAATGTACATTTATCACACAATATTGCTCATTTTCTTTATCATTATGGTTCATTATTATATTTCTTATAAATTGTAGATTTGACCCAGAGGTTAAATTTAAATTTAATTAAATTTTAAAAATTGCAATTAAGTCCCTTGGACTTGTTGAATTCTCATATACATGCCCCTAACAAATTCAACTCTGAAAAATAGGAAATCATCTCCATCCCCATCGTTTTTTTGTCCGAATATGTATGATCAATTGCTGGATATGTATCAGACGGCCGAATATGTATGACCAATTAGGAGATTGTGTATACCTCTGATCTTCCCCGTCTCGGACTCCGAAACCCGCCGTTTCCCGACGTTGTTTCAGCACCTCCGACATACCATGACCCCTGAATTCGGTCTCAGGATATAGACACGGTTCAGTCAAGGCCGCTAGTTTCGGGCTGAGAAGTTGCGGCAGAAATGGAGATCGGAGGCAGAGTTCATTACGAGAAAATATATCGGGTTTTTTGGACGGCGGCTGAGGCGGCCAGGAGGATTCCGGCGACGGACTCGTTGCAGAGGGGCTGGTAGTGGCAGTGTCTGTGCCAGCGACGGTGCGACGGGCGACGGGGCGGGTGGCGGTGGGCAACGGATGGTGAATGTATGGGAGTGTTGTGTGCTTGAATCGTGAACATGAAGGGGTGTGTGTGTGTGTGTGTGTGTGTTCTTGTGTGTGTGAGAGAGATGAGGCAGGGTAGGTGGTTGGTGGGGTCCACTAAAGTGGATAGGTTATTGGAAAAATCACCGAATTACCCTTAATGAGTGATCAAATGTCTATATTTGACAATGATATATTCACATAATTACCATATTGCCATTACATATTTGACTGCCATTACTAAAGTTTGACTTGATCATAATTCAATGGTGTAGATTTATTCTTATTTCTTTCATTGTGATTCATTCTCATATTATCCTAACTATATATATATATATATATATGTTGCAAGTAGTGCTATGATTTATTGTGTTTTAATGCTATTTTTAACATTGATTTATTTTCTTAAAAATAGCAACACAATTTATAATAGCATTTGTGAAAATGATAGCACCATGTGATATTAAAAATAGCATCATACACAATAAAAACTAGCATCAAATACGGTTCTCACGGTTCTCACACCAGGACTAGTTTTTATTTGAACCACTCCCTATATATGTATATATATATATATATAATTGTTGGCAAAGCATGTAATAAAATTATTTTTAGTTTCCCCCCATTTTCGGTTACAAAATTCAATCATTAATATTTTCTTACCTTTTCACATTAATATATCCTATTAAGTGTAATCATATGTTTTTTACTATTATTATATAGTAGCGAAAATGCTCCCCTACCCACGGTGGACACATGTTAATATGCCCACCGCTTATGTGGCATGCACACATTGGTGATGTTAATATGTTAAAAAAATACATCACCAATGTGTGCATGCCACATCACATAAGCGGTGGGCATATTAACATGTGCCTACCGTGGGTAGGGGAGCATTTCCCTATATAGTAGTTAATGCTAATACCAACTAATTATCATGTACCTGATATATGGAGAGACTTGGGCTTGGATGGAGATTTGGGTTTGGATGTGGACTTGAAGAAAGAAAGAAGTGCCGGGCCTGCCGGCCCAACTGAGATGGCTTTTGAGTAGTGGGCTAGTGCTTGTTCAGCCCATTATCTTCTTCTTCTTCTTCTTCTTCTTCTTCTTCTTCTTATTATTATTATTATTATTATTATTATTATTATTATTATTATTTTGCTTTAGTATTTCCTTTTATTATTAGCATGTGTTGTAAAGTAAAAATATGAGGGTCCCACTCATTGTAGATGTCTTATATGGTTGAATATTGTGTATGAGGAAATTAATCAATCAGTTACAACAAATTTACTCCCTCTCTCTCCCATCTCTCATCTCCCTCTCTACTCTCTATCTTTCTACTCTCTCTCTCTCTCTCTCTCTCTCTCTCTCTCTCTCTCTCTCTCTTTCTCTCTCTCTCTCTTTCTCTCTCTCTCTCTTATACATCTTCAACATCTTCCTCCTTCATCTCTTTATTGCAGAAAAATACGAAAAAAATCAGAAATTCATTATATAAATTTACAAACTATCTCGGGTCATAACAATTGGTATCCAGAGCGGACGATCCTCGGACGATGGCGGACGAACTTCTTCTCCATCAGATAGAGCTGCAACAAAAACATTTGGATCAAAAAATGCAGCTAGAAATTCTGAAAAGGGAGGCCAGCTATTCAAATTTTTAGCAACAAATGGATGGTATGAAATTTAATCTCCAGCAGCAAACACAAGGAATAAATCAGAAATTTGATCGACGTTGTGAGTTACTTGAATCCATACAATTTATTATTACCAATATACAACACAGAAGGCAGGCAAAATCAGCACCTCGATTCCAACATTTTTCCATACCACCATTCTCAGCCCTCACTACCTCTGATTCTGAACTTAAAATCCCCAGCCCTAAAAAACCTCAACCAATTTTTCATGAAATTCATGATTGGGGTGGCACGGCTTCATCTCGGAAGATTAATCTAGTCTCGTGGTCTGAGGTGTGTCGGGCAAAGGAAGAAGAAGGGTTAGGGATGAAAGATCAACGGTTAATGAACCGAGCTTTACTTATGAATTTAGTCTGGCGTTTTTTAAACGAACCAAATTTACTTTGGTGTCGAATGCTTCGGGCCAAATATAAGCTGCACCCTTTGGAGATGGGTGAAGATTACGAGTTTCCCCAAGGCTCGACGGTGCTGAGGTCGATTCAAGATGTGTCGAAAGAGACGCTGGTAGGCAGTCGATGGTCGGTGGGCAATGGTCACACAATTCATTTTTGGTGGGACATGTGGCTAAATTCTGAAACTCCATTGATCAAGCTCGCGACAGCACCGGTGCCGAAGACGATGCTTTACTTTAAGGTGGCAGCGTTCGTTCAGGCGGATGGAGGGTGGAATTGGCTGATGTTTCAGGGATTATTGCCAGCCACATGCTTACTTTGGATATCCGCCATCCCACTGCCGCATGTGCATGGCGGGGAGGATAGGTTGTTTTGGGGTCGGTCTGCAGATGGAAAATTTGCCACTAAATCTGCCTATTTGACGCTAGTCCAGCCCTCCGAGAGACTCCGAGATCGATTATGGAAAATAATATGGAAGTGGGTGGGCCTGCAGAGAGTTCATAATTTTCTGTGGCTAGAGACTCGCGACTCTTTGCTGACGAATGCATCACGGTATCGACGACATCTTATGTCAAATCCGGCCTGTTCAATTTTCTTGGCGGAGTATGAGTCTACGATCCATGCACTACGTGACTGTCCTGCAGCGTCATCCACCTAGAAAAGGTTGCTCTCCCATGGCCACTGGCGGGCTTTCTTCTCACTTGATATTAGAGGATTCCTGTTAGGAAATCTCACCGGCGATTTGAGTAGGGCATATGAGAACTGAGAGTCGGTCTTCGACATTACAGTGTGGCGTTTGTAGAGGTGGAGCAATCTAAAAATTTTTCCAGTAGTCCGATTTTTCCACGTCCCAACATCTTGGTGAGGTGCTCTCTTTTGTGAACATGGGGAGACGCGCATTGGCAGGTAGTCGAAGTGTTGGGGCGAGTGGTGTCCGAGAGTTGCGTTGGATTTCATGGACACGCCCGGCGGAGGAGGAGTTGAAGATCAATATGGATGGGAGTTTTGATCCATCGACAGGGATGGTGAACGCCGGTGGTGTAATCCATGATCACCATGGGAACTGAGTGCATGGATTTTTGATGAATATAAGCTTTTGTTCTATTATTGGAGCGGAACTATGGGGGCTGTTTCAAGGTCTATCGTTGGCTTCAGATATCGGTGCACGCAAAGTGCAAGTAGAAGTCGACAATAAGAGTATCATCGAGATGGTTAAGAACGACAATCATAGCGGGCCTCATGGTGGTATATTAATGGGTATTAAGGAGCTTATGCATCATCATTGGGTAGTGGTGATTCATCATGGTTATCGAGAAGCAAACTTTGTGGCAGATTACTTGGCGTCGCTAGCGGCTAAAGGCCCGGGTGGGCTTCATAGGTTGGAGCGTTCCCCGCTGGGGGCGAGTATATGGTTGCACCACGGTAGGATGGGCTTGTCTCATCCTCGGGCAGTTCTAGTTTAGGCTCGGCGTAGCCTCCCCTTATTGCACCAAAAAAAAAAAAAAAGCCTATCAGTATTGATGTACATATAATTAACCTAGACGCCTTAAAATTCACGCGTTCCAACTCAACAGTCGCCACACTGTTCGTGTTCTCCTTTGCCCTCGTCTTCTCTGTTTCCCTTCCAAGACGGAGACAGCGGGTGGCTCACCCGGGCTCCAGCCCAGTCTTAATTTTCTATTCTATATAAATATGTAGTAGTAAAAAAAAATATAACCAATTTTTTATTAATATAATTCATGATAAAATTATTTAGTCCATATTAATTGAAATTTATTTTATATTAAACCAAAAAATTATACATATTTTTTGACATGACTCAAACTTTTTCAATGTATTTTTTTTTTTTTTTGTTTTTGTGGTTATAGCTAACTTTGTCATTTTTTTATTTTTTTATTTTTTAATATTTGGTTTAAGACACGATTAATTTGTATTATTTATATTACTTTATATGTGAAATATATCAATTACTTGTTAACTTTTAAATAAATGATATTTGTATATGTTAAATATATATTTTAATTTCATTAATAGTAAAATATCATATAACAAGTATGTTGGGTTAACCTGTCTATTCAATAAAATGACATTTGGACTTCCACAATTTAAGTGAAATATCATAATAACAAGTATGTTGGGTCGACTTGCCTAATAATAGAACGTTCACCTCATAGTAGTATTTGTAATAAGTGTATTATTTTTATAAATCAAATTTAAGTAGGCAAAGTGAAATTACGCGGCAATACTATTTTTTGAATAAGAATTTATTATATCAACAGAAAAAATCTACAAGTTGTGTAAAATGCAATTGATCTTGTATAAATACGCCTAAAGAGTATAACATATGGTGTTTTTTATTTACTAAAACAAAATGACATAGTTTTAGTAATTTTTTTTTCATTTATTTTGTAATTTACATTAAACATTTAAGAAAATATCATACTTTGAATTTTTACAAATAACATTAGTTATAGCATTGAAATTGAGTTGAATACGTCGTGTTCGAACTTTTGCTCGTATAATAAGTGAGCAAGTTTGACTCAGATCATTTATTAAATCGAGTGTAATCAATTAAGTTCCGCTCATTTATATTTAATTTTTGTTTTATGTTTTATTATATGAATGAGTCAAGATTGACTTTTTACGAGCCGAACTGAGATGTACTCACTGACAAATCGATGCTAGGTTCTAGCATCCCAGGGTAGAAAATATTTCTGACTACGCCCCTGCTTCTAAATTTTGGCCCTTCAAACTTCCACCCGTTCCCTTTCAAAGACATCTGTAAATGCGTTTGAACGCCCGTCGTCTTCCAACTCTCAACAGCCGTCACGCACTGTTCGTCTTCTACTCTCCCAACAAACATCAATGATCAACGTATCCGGCCTATTTTGACCGGATCAGAGTC